GGGACATACATACATACATACATACATACATACATACATACATACATACATACATACATACATACATACATACATACATACATACATACATACATACATACATACATACATACATACATACATACATACATACATACATACATACATACATACATACATACATACATACATACATACATACATACGTACGTACATGGCCGTGGGTGACGCAAGATATCACTCACACCCTGGACCGATTTTCAGAGCTCCGACGACGACGAAGATGTAATATGTACACCAAACGATACGTTGTCGGGAGGCGCTCGACGGCGAAAGGGTTCCAGGTTTCTGCAACGCTGCTCTTTTTTCCAGTATTCTGCAACGCCGCTCTTTTTTCCAGTATTCTGGAACGCCACTCTTTTTTTCCAGTATTCTGGAACGCAACTCTTTTTTTCCAGTATTCTGAAGGCCACTCTTTTTTCCAGTATTCTGAACGGCCACTCTTTTTTCCAGTATTCTGAAGGCCACTCTTTTTTCCAGTATTCTGAAGGCCACTCTTTTTTCCAGTATTCTGCAACGCCGCTCTTTTTTCTGCTGTGGAGAAACGGAGCTTTTGAACATGAGTCTAGGGGGTGTAATACCTTATGTCACCTACATACGGGCACAACCCTCCGAAGCGCATGCGTTTTTTCTTACGTTTGTCTTGTCTCTCTGGCTGGTGGTGGAATAGGCGCGCTCGACGTTTCCCCCGGTTGGATGTCCGGAAGGTAGTTGAACAGCTCCTTCGTCTCGCCTCGCGCCTTGTGACCGTTTCCGTTTTGTTTTGAACGTCGAAGGCGAGCCCAACGTTATCTCGTTACGTATATGCGTATCTCATTACATGAGCGTGTTGTATATGTTTTGACGGAAGCGAGCCTTCCCGATTCCGTTCGTCGCTTTCGCAACCCCGACTGCATGCTCGCCATTGCTAACAAACACTACAGCAGTGACGCACGACTTCTGAACACTTTCTCCAATCAGCCGAAAAGACTCAAGAATCCGGATGAAGACAGCAGACATAGCTTTGCTCGTTAACGACCCGCGAGCAGCAGCATCAGACGGCCGACATCAATATTTCGGTATTTCCGCCTGCTTTCTACATCCCTTCGCTCCCACTCTCATTGTAACTGTTTTTGTTTCCTAATGCTGATTTGCCCGCTTGTAACAGCGATCTGCACATGAGCGACAACGAGATCTGCGACGAGGGCCTTGCCGGACTGGCTCGTGCGGTGGCGAGGAACACCTCGATCCGGCTGCTCGAGCTGTGCTTCAACCGGATCACCGCCGCGGGGGCGGAGGCGCTGGCCAAGTCCATCTGGGGAACCACGGGGCTCAGGGCGCTACGGTTGGACAACAACCAGGTGGGTACCTACCACGGTCGTTTCGCCGTGTGTAACTACTGTTTTGTTTCTTTTGATGTGCGTTGCACCAGCCTCGTATCAATCAGCGTACCTGCATTGGCAAATTCACGTGTAATAACTAGTGTGTGTGTTAGTTTGCACCAGCCGTGCGTCAGCGTGCTATGAACACAGTTCACGAAACGGCGGTGTGTTGAGTGATTTAGAGGTGCAAAGGAGTGTGTTGTGTGAGAGTTGACGTGGATGTCGTGTGTTTGTACGCCTATGGTAGGCCGAAGAGCAACCACTGCATCAAAACGACAGCCTGACTGGCTAAATAAAAAACTAGGTACAGCTTGTGGGCCGATCGGTCGCTTGCTGGCACCATCGCTCCGCACCCATGTGTAGCATTCCAACGTCGATCGGGGCATAGGAATAAGTTTGCTCCGCTCCTTGCACGCCCGCCGGCTGTCCAGTTCAGAGAGAGACTTGCATCATGCCCGGAATTCCGTGCGATATAACAGGGCTCCCGCGATTCATCGCTCAAATATTGCGGACAAATATCAGCATCACGCTTTACAATACAAAGCACGTGCCCGAGAGAAAGCCAGCAGAACTGAAACCATGTCGATGCGTGCGTGAGTGTCCGATTTCTTCGGGGGTTTTTTGTTTTGTTTTTTGCTGTCCAGGTGGGAGATCGTGGGGCTCAGGCGTTGGCGATCGCACTCCCCACCTTGGGGCTCGAAACTCTGGACGTTGGATTCAGCCACGTCGGCACGGCGGGCGTCGCCGCCCTGATGCAGGTGGGATGCTAATGCTGCTGTTACTGACCTGACGGAGAGAGAGGGTTAAGAGAGAGCGTCCTACATCTACACGGCTCGTCTGCATAGGATTTCCGCAGCTTCCGTTGATGGACTGAAATGCCGATATCCGTTTTACCTTTCTTTTCGCCTGGCGCTTGCGTACCCCCCCCCCCTCCGCCCAATATCTCCTCTGTTCCGATAGGCCACGGCGAACAGTCCCTCGTTCACGAGCTTGTCTCTGAGCGGCAATGCTCTCGACGCGGAGGCAGCGAAGGCAATACAGGCGGCGCTTGCACAACCCAGGTGTGATAGTTTCACTCGTGCTAAAGGCCCGCACTTAAGAATCTCTTAATTTGGCCGAGCCTCGTTTCGTGTTTTGTCCATGGGGTACTGTATCCCCACGGTGATGGTACAGTTTAGGTTTTAGTGTAGGGTTCTTGGCTGAGCAGCTGTTCTCATGGTCAAGTTCTTTTGTTGTGGAAATATTGAGGCTCACGTTCTCAAGTACCAAGTTCTTGAGTGCAGGCCGGTTCTGTGTACCCCTGTTTTTTGCGTTGGCACACGCTGCTGCACATGGTTTTGCCATGCGTGCGACTCCTGCGGTTGTGTGTACATACATATTCATCGCGCATTTCGTCCCGACTGCACACTGCTGTATCTCTCAATACTACTCACGGCCTTACGACGTGCTACGCTTGTACTGTAGAATACCACTTGTTTTTTTTTTTTGTGACCCCTTTGCCCTTGTATCACGCGACCCTGCTTCATAGGTGCTCTTTGCGTTGCCTTTACCTGGACCACACCTCCCTCGGGAGGGCAAGCGAGGGATTCATCGCCAACGGGGTGCTGTCCAACCGCTCCCTGGCGCTCGTCACCCTCACGGGATTCCGCCTGGGGTCATCGTTCGCCAGGCTCGGTATGCCGCCGCAGGTGCGGTCAGCAGGGCAGGCGTTGATAGGAGGGGGGGGGGGGGGGGGGGGGGGCCAAAAAACCACAAAACCCTCCCGCGGGGTTTTTTTTTGGGGCCCCCCCAACCGGGG